CATCTGCTTCAGTTAGTTTCTGAGGGATTATTGGTCAGGAGGCTATAGTCACAGTGACAAGAGCTCAGTTAACCTCCCAACTTGCTGATTATTTATTTATCATGGTCAGCATAGCTTGTTTTATCCCTCATTTATTTTCTACAATAACTGGGTCACAATTCTTATGAGGTCACAAGTCGAATTTGTGGACCACAAGCACCCTTTAAAAGTTTCTGGAATTGTAACTTTGTTTATTTTTTTGAGATTTGAGGGAGAAAATTTGGGGGGAGGCTAAGAGAATACATGAAAATGTATTTATTTATTTGATTTTTATCCCACCTTAATATATAATACCCAGTCCTCCTGTTTTCTCCACAACAACAATCCTATAAAGTGGGTTGGAATGAGTGAAAGTGACTGGCCAAAAGTCAACCAGCAGACTTTCATGCATAATGTGGGACTAGAACTCACTCTCCTAGTTTCTAGTCCATATCTTAATCATCACACCACACTGGCTCTTCAAGGATATGTTTTGTTCTTCGAAAGTAAAAGCCTTTGAATGCTTTTGAAACAAAATGGTTGCCTACTGTACTGCTTGTCAATAGATAGCATATCTGAAAGAGGAGGACATTGTCTTCAGTCATTTTTCATCCAGATCACTTCTTGGTCAACCAATGGCTTAGTGAGATCTGTGAATTCTCCAAATGATGGAGCCAATTAGCAAAGTCTGCCTGAGATGCCTAATGGATCTGGTTGGCTGCTTGAGGATTTTCCAATCAGTTGGCAGAAAGTCCTCCATATGCTTTGTTCAACTTTGGAATTTAGAGATAACAAAGGCATCAACTGATCTCATTGCCTGTTGATTGTATCAAATTTCTGAGTTTACCAATGAATCCAGAGAGATCAAGTAGTAGAAGTGATGCTTGAAGTCGCAGTGGTATAAGACAAGGGATTAGAATATGAATTAAGTACAGGTGTCAATCCAGATTTAGTGTGGCAAAGTGCTGTTACTTGTCTGGGCTTACTTCAGTGACAAAATTGTGTTATGTTTAAGATGACTCTCTTAATGAAGGACAGAAGGAAAAACCTTCCTGCAGCAAACACAGCATATTTCCTGTGTATTTTGTCAATAAAAGTTACATTCAGTCAAGGTCTAGACTGCTCATGAGCATAATTCTATGAAGAGATTTAGAGAAGGTCTTGCATGGCTATCTGTGTATTTGTTTGGTCTTGGGAATTCTTAAGAAGTGGTAAGATCCTTTGCATCAAGAACTCTGCCACCTGAGGGCTAGATCCATGCCCCACCTGGTTCCTTTGAGCAACTATATGTCTGCATTTGGATTCGACAGATGACTAATACTTCTTTGGGGGAGAAGGGATGGTATCTGCCATCTTGGAGGAGGTAGTGGTATACCTGCTCCTGAAGAAGTATATTTGGGGAAGAAATCATTGAAGACAAAGTGGGGTGACAGTTGCAGAGAAAATGTGTAATAGAGCAGATGATCTGAATGTGTTCCAGTATTGGTTCAGATTAGATATGTAACCAAAATAACATTACTGTAGTCATTACAGTGGATATTCTTTCTTCGGACCTAAATGGAGGGAGTGAGGCCCTCCACATCCTATTTGCTGTCAGCAGCAGTCAATATGACTGATTCTAGTATACTTAAGCACTTTGAGAGGAGGAGTAGTTTTATACTGTGCTCCTTCCTGAATGGGCAGTTCCAGTTCATAGTTTGGGACAGACAAACAGGTGAAGAGACCCATCAGTCCCTTCTCTGTGGGGTGCCACAGGTCTTGCCTATTTTCCCCATACATTTAATATCTGTATGAAACACTTTTGGAGCCATTTAACATTCATTCACATAATATCAATGTACCCTATAGATCCAACTGTTAGCACAGTCCAATAAACCTTGTATTGTATCAAATCCTGAAATTGCTTAAGCCACTATTAATGCACTTAAACCTATTGTGCTATTAAGAGTTAAGATAAAAAATTAAATTCACTGGAGCAGCACCCATGTTCTCCATGTACCTATTCAGGAAGAAAATATGAACCTTATATATTTTAAAGTGCACAATGCTTATTTCATAATGCTGAATCTCTCGTCAATTTGAGTGTCCTGCAACATCTCAAAAGTGTTTGCTTTTCTTATCTGGACAAAGAAGCAGAAGCTGAGAATTCCTAGAAATCCATTTTGCTTCTATCTCAGCTTGGAATTTGAGATTGCAAATGAGAACGGAAGAGCCACTGTGTCTGGATATGAAAGGAATTCTTGATCACTAGTATAGAGATTCAGTTAAATTATTTTTGCAACATTTAAGGAATAGATTAATTAGCCAAAATATGTTGACATTTGACAAGCTAGTGGAGTATTCTTAAACTGTTGGGATAAGAACACAATTAAAAAATTATTTTTTGTAATTTGTTACTGTATTGGGATGAAAAAAAACTAAAAACTGAAAATGACTAAATGTTAATGATAATTTTCTAGGACTTTGGTTAGCAGATAATTGTTTTTTATAATCTGTTGCCCCAATTTAATATTAGACAATACTGCAGTATACTGGTTTTCCTTAATAGAGAGATTGGAGAAAGGATTACTTTTTGTTGAAATATGGTCTATCAATTATTTAAATGGATTTAAAGAATATATTGTTAAGTTCAGCTAACCAAAATGTAAGTGTTATATGTGCAATAGTAGTCTCAATTGTTTTATATGGTGGGCAGAGCTATTATATTCCACACATAATTAGGGTAGAAATACATAAATTCAGGAGAACCCCAGATTTTAAAGACACAAAAAGAAACAGTGGTGCCTAAAATTCCCAAGAACAAACCAATTAAACTCTAAATGTGATCAATGGTCTCAAAATCCTGGCTAATAGGCTATGATAATCATCATTAGAAGGTAGTAAAAAGTTTCTCTTAACTGCAATATAGCACTCAATTGATTTGTGCAGTAGATGCTGCCACTGTATAGGTGTCAGAGTTCAGATTAGGAGTCTGGTGTGTGAGAGATGCATTCAACTATGAAGTGCATCCACATAATTTTTCAAAACAATGACTGATCTATCAACTAGTCAGCAAATTGTGGTGAGAGGAAAAAGTCTCTTATGGCTGTCATCTACTGGTGATCCAGATTTAACAACCCAGATGCCACCACTAGGTAAGTCTAATGAATTGCTAAGAGGTCTAAAAAACAATGTCAATAATTCTTGTGCCAAATCAAAGCATGCAAATTAAAGCATTCCCCATAGCTCTGTCAACGAAAAGGATAGAAGAGGAAAAATGTGTCTGCATATTTAAGTCACATCTGCACTGGTTACATCCAGTGGTAGAATGACCTTTTCAGAAGAGCATCCCACAGGAGAGGAATTGAGGAAGGCTAAAATTGTACTTTCAGTTATATGCATGTAACTGGACAAGCTGGACACAATTTTCAGGGCTTAGATTCTTCTAGGTTAACCAGGTTTGCAAAGGAGAAAAAGATAAGGAAAGAAAAAAGTCCCTATGGAAACTGGGTTCCTAGTTTGCCTAAAGGGTAAACATTGCAAAACAGGCACTGAATACAGGAATGAAAGGAAGCAGTTCCTTAGCAGCCCTCTCAGGTCAATTGTGATCAAGCAGATCTCCACCTACCTCCATTTTACCTCTTCCTCATGCATCATAGATTGGCTTGCATTTTTCAATGAAAATACTCACTTCATGCCAGAACACCTTGGATTGGATTGGCTTCAGCCTAGCTCAGCCAGGTGGAATGGGAGTGTTAGTAGTGAGATGGAAAATCCATTATGAGGGAAGGGTGTGTGTGTGTCCCCTTTCTGAAAATAAGGAAAGTTGGAAGCTGGAGAGGTCATTAAATGGAAGAAAAAACTCCTGTAAACTTGATCTCCTTGTAAGAAGCTAAGTTGTTAAGACTTATAACCGGCCATCACTCTGATCTGCCAATTAACATTTGAAGTTTAACAGAAGATCTCTTTATCAAGGAAAATGGTAGTTTACTGTAAACTAAGAAAAAAAAAGGGAGAAAACAACATGTGTTTGTGTATGTCAGTCAGATAGACAATGTTGCTACTTTGTTTCTATTCTCTCTCCCCCCCCCCCACTTTGTTTTACTGTTGTGGTATTCCCTAGTAATTTTTTTCAGTATGGAGGCTTTGTAAGAGTTGTGTGCATATAGTTTTTAAAAAATAATTCTGGTTCTTTTAAAGGACACAACATAGTTAGAAGCTCAATGAGTTTTCAAGGTTGCCAGTGCAGCAGATTAAATTAGTTGTCCAACTGTTTATCAGTTTCAATAAATAATTTGGACTGCACTCTTATGCCTGCTTATTCATCTGGAAATAAAGGTCATTTCAGTTAAATGGAGCTTTCTGGTCATTAAAATTTTGATAAGGGAAGAGAAGGGGCTGGTGTTTGGATGTAAGAATGTGTCTTTTCCTGTACAGTCAACGAGGCCATTTGATGAAAAAGAAGGCTGAACGTTCTCCCTTGAGTGCTACCTTTCTACACGAACAGGCCGCATCCCCCTCTCCTATTTTTGGCAATCCTGAACGCCCCGCTGTATGATTTGGTCCAGGGTGATTTGTTTGACAACCCCCTCCCCCTCCCAAGAGAGTCACTCTCACTCTGCTTGCTTATCCCAAGGCTTGTTATGCTTTCCACGCGGCTGAAAGTTATAGCGCCTGCGCAGGGAATGGAGACCCAAACACGCCAGGCGGGGTTTAGCTGATACCCTCCTCTTCGCCCAGGCTGGCCTCCCTCCACGTCGATTAAAGATGCCCCGCGGGAGTTAGCGGGACGCGCTCGGCTCGCCTTTACCGGGGAGCAGCGAGGCTCGCTCGCTCGTCAGTTGCGAAACGCGGGGCGGAAGGCGAAGACAGGTTGGCCGGAGGGGAGGTCGGCGGCCGCTGGACCCCTTGTGGTGCCCGAGGGTTGCCGGAGCTTGGGACCGGGCCAACTGGTGAGGAAGTGGAGGAGGCAGCCTCTGATTTCTCCCTCCTCTTCCTTTTCCTTTTCCTTCGCCTCTTCGCCGGCAGAAGCTCTCCCAATTTCCCGTCCGGCACCCAATTTGCGGACCTCAGAGGGTTAACACTCAGGCCGGTAAGAAGGGGATGCAGGATGCCCCGTTTGTGCGTCTGTCTATATGGGCAAGCTGATATATAAAAAGAGAAAGGGGCAACTAACTAGGCAAACTCGAGGGCGGGATTAGTGTCTCTCCTTCAAAGTAGTGGGGGGGGCAGTTTTGTTGAAAATTAGGGAAAACCTTGTATTGACCTCAAGATTATATTTCCCCTTTTTATCATCTGTATCGTGCGTTAACATCCCCGGAGTTCGCTAGCCTTGAGAAAGAGGCTTTGGTGGCCTCTTGATGAAATGCGCTCCAAGTCCAGAAACTGCGGCGGCCACGTTCGTGCTGAAGGACCGCGGGGCCAGCTCAGCAAAGCCCGTTTAAAAAGAGTACACGGAGACAGGACTGAAGCCCTCTCGGCTAACTTCGTAGAAACCGCTCTGCTGCTACAAAGTAGCCTTTTCCCTCTGGGCTTGGTCGCATCGGATTCCTTTGGAAAAATGCCTGTTAACTTAGTCAGAATTTTCCAACATGCTTGCAAGGGAATTCTGGGAGTTGAAGTCCACACATCTTAAAGCTGCGAAGTTTGAAAATACAGACTTAAATCCTTCTTGATTCAGGATTTACATCTTATTCTCTCTGTTAACCATAGTGGTCATATTTGTAACAGGAGGGATACATGCAGCTTTAACTAAATAATTATTTCTCTGTAAATGACCAGCTTGTTGACTTCTTGCGTTTCCTAACTTCTTGTTCCTGAACATTCTTATTTTCAGTTAAATCTAGAACAGCTAGCATTACTAATTCTTATTATTCACCAACTCTGCTATGGCCCTAATATTGGCAGAATTTCATCCTAAGAGCTAAAAGATAATACTGTTAACTGAAGTAGTTTGTGCAATCTGATTCCCTTTGTGTGTTTTGAAGAACAGTTCCATAAGACTGACATTCTGGTCAGTTGGGGTTTGAAAATTGTAGTCCAGAACATCTGGAGGACCTCTTTTTGCCTTCTGGATTTTTGTTTCTATGCTTCAGTCCAGAAAGATAAAATTGATGTAGTCCAAAAGTAATATTTATCAATGTCACTGTAACATGAAAAATTATACCCTGACCCCACTTATTAAAAATGGAAAATTCTGAAAAAGTTTCAGTGGCACTAACATAAAGTAACTGCCATAAGGGCCTGGCTTTCACAAAATGGCTGCCATGGGGATGTAGCTATTCACAAAAAGGAACTGGACCAGTCCATAATTTATATAGTTCTGCAAAATCCATTCAGCATTCCTGGTCTTTCTTTATATTTTGTTGTTCTTTCAATAGAGAAATGCTTGTACATCAAATACTGCATGTTTACAGTGAGTGCCTTTTGTTTTCTATTTTTTTTGTTTTGTTTAAAAAGATGCTACTTTGAAGAATTTAAACAGAATTTGATCTGGTGCCTAGGAACTTTTTTAAATATTAGCAAAATGTATTTCTAATCCAAGAATGTCTTTAAAAAATCACATTGTTTTCTCTTTCTTTGCTTAGGATCTGTTCACTGAGTCACATTTCTCTTATAGGTAACTGTAGCTACTTTACTCCATTTGCAGAATATACCACTTTGAAAAGGCTAAAAGAAAAAACCAATATCCTTCTGTGACAAACAGCTTAAAAATATTTCTGATTCCTAACCTCATCAATTAGCATAGAAACACCCAGATGTCGTCCCTGCAGAGAATTACTGAATCAGTGCTATATGGTGATAATATCTATCTATCTATCTATCTATCTATCTATCTATCTATCTATCTATCTATCTATCTATCTATCTATCTATCTATATTAGATTTTTACAAC